GTGTGTGTGTGTGTGTGTGTGTGTGTGTGTGTGTGTGAGAGAGACAGAGAGAAGCTCAGCTCTGTGTTTTAAGTCCAGCAGGACTTGTAGACTAACAGCAGCTCATTCTGTCTGGATTTATGGTGTTTTGAGTTCACAAACTACTCGTTAATTTTTTAAAAGTTGAGGGACGTTACATTAGCTTGTAGCTGTGCTGCTGATCAGCGCTGTTTAATAGAACATGACCGGACTCGCAGGAACCTGGTCACATGTGGGGTCTGTGTTGGTGATTCTTTCTGTAATATATAAAAGTAATTATTGATAAGGTAACCATGCTGTGGCTTCACCTGTTGCATTTTATTTTAAAGAAAGAAAAAGTAGCTTGCAAAGCTGTCGCATCAGTGCTACGTGATTTAAAAAGAGTTTTCATCATGTGTCTTATCACACACACACACGTCTTTCTATTTCTGTGAGGACCACACAGCGCTCACAGCCTCACTCTGCCCCCCCACCCCCAGGTGGATATGAAGGTGCACAAAAAGAGCTCTGGACTTGATCTGGACTTATTTAAAAAAAATGATTACATGCCGTGAAATTCTTGGAGGGGAGGGCTGTCTCTTGGCGGGGGACTGCTCCCCTTGAATAATGGTAGGGGAAACACTGGAAAAAATTGATCTCATGGCTTTTGAATCGATTTTCCCAAATTTGAACGAGAATTAATCCAGATTGATTAAATCGATTTTTTTTAACCCAGCCCTAGCTATGACACTCCTGGTTGTAAATGGCTTGAAGCATTGTTGTGATGACGTGCTAAAATAGCCGTGACGGAATCGTTAAGAGATTCTTAAAGAGACAGAGGCCAATTTCAAGGCGTTTAGAAATGACTTGATGAAATGTCAAATTTATTTTTGATTCATACATATATTGAGCATTTTTATAACAACTGAAGCTGACAGTTATTTTCGTATAGAACTGAACTGTATGCCTGAGAAACACATAATATGGACCATTTAAATGTTAACACCATGAGAAATGCAAAAGGAGGAATTCTGTTATGGTGTGAACCCAACAGACAAACAAGTGGCATCTTCTGCATTAAACTATCACGTTTAGGGGAAAAACTGTTGATTGTTGCCTCCACTGCTAAAGGTGGCTTAATAGCACTGCTAATCTTTCCAAAATCAATAGGCTGTGCCTTGCAACTACAGTGGTTTGCAAAAGTATTCATACCCCTTGAACTTTTCCATATTTTGTCACATTACAACCACAAACATAAATATATTTCACTGGAATTTAATG